CCACACTGCCGATTCCGTTGAGGCTGCCGCTGCCGCTCCCCCCCCCCCGTTCAAAGCCAGAGGCCCAATAAACAGCTTCGGTGAGACTCGGCTGCCGTGGTTTCTTCCCGGGTGGGGCCCCTCCGCAGGGCTCCATCTGCAGAGGGGACGTCCAGGCCCTTATCCGGAGCCCAGCCCGCCTGCCCCGCACAGCCCTCGCGACACGAGGAGGCCCCCGAGGCTCCCCAGGACAAATCCAGGCGAAGACAAAAGCGTTACAGCCGTGACCTCCCCCTCAGGCCCGGGGGTGGGGCTTTATTGTTGGGACGGGCTGGTCCACTGTCCCCGCATCTCTCATTCGGGGGGCACGGCCTCTTCGACCCACTGCAGGTACGGGGGGTTTCCCTGCTGGATGGGGACAGCGATCACCTCAGCCACTTCATAGGGATGCACGGACCTGCAAGCCAAGAGGGGCGGATGATGTAGACACTGGACATGGCTGCCCACCGCCCACCCCTGGGGGCAGGGAGAGGGACTGTACCTTACCGGACATATTCTGCCAGTGCCGGGACCCGGGAACTGCGCGTTTTGATCATCTGGGGGGAGAAAGCGGAGTGAGAGAGCCCCAAAGCTGTAGGCGGGCCCGTTTGAGGACGGCCATGAAGCAGTCCCTCCCTGCTGTGCTGGGGGCTCCTGGTGCCTGTCAGGCTGTGTGTTTGGGGTTTCTGCCCCCCCCGGGGTTGTGCGAGCCAAGCCCCTTGAGCGGGCCTGGGGTTCAGTGGGCCAGGAGGATTCGGGAGACGGATCCACCGGGTGGCCCGGCCGAGAGGGTGGGACAGAGGCAGGAAGGTGGAAAAGGGGCATCCCAACCCCCAGGGAAGACCCCCGGATGGGACCTCTAGTTTTGCGGTTGCAGGAGACCAAAGGCGTTGGGGGCGCAAGGCCGCTCTCCCACAGAGCAGCCACCCAGCAAATCCAGGAGGCAGCCTCTCCCCCCGAAGGCCCCCGCGGAAAGGCCGAGCCCCCTTCCTCCTCCCCGCGTCCAGCCCGCGCGGCCCCACTCACCAGCAGCACCTCGGTGTCCTCCTCGATCGCCCCCTTCCACCGGTAGCTGCAAGAGACGCGGAGCCCGGGGGCGCAGCTGAGCCTGGGCGCG